TATATATATAGGTCAAGGTCAAAGTGGGAAACACCTCCAAGAAAGCCTATGGCCACACACTTTGATCATTGAATGCTTGGAGCTATACAACATCAACAGGATTCTAAGAGCCTTTATTGCAAACTCAATGAGGTTGTGGAAAACCACCCTTGAGGCCAATGGCAAGACACTTGCACAAGTCTCCATCAAATGTGGCATATACCAAGGAGATGCACTGTCTGAATTCCCTCAGCCAAATAATCAACCAGTATCTATAGCCAAGACTGGCTGGATACTGACTCAGAAACAGGGCCACAATCAGTCACCTCCTCTACATGGATGACATTAAGCTGTACACTAAGAATGAGCGAGACATCAACACACTGATCCGTACCACCCAGATCTACAGCACAGACATTGGGATGTCATTCAGAGTAGAGAAGCACCCTGAGACTGTACACTAGCCGTAAGGCAGGAGGCCAATGACTAGTGAGTGTGAGAGCCACTATCCAAGATAAAACATCCGAGATCCATAAGTACATCAAGGACAAGGCTACAACAGACAATGGGTTCAGTGAATGTCTGAAACAATGGGGAACAAGAGATGAGGCGCTAGAAGTTCCATCATGGGAGGAAAAGCCTTAACCCGGATGTACCACCGAAACATAACCAAAGTGGCAGATATCAGGAAATTCTACCAATGGCTAGACAAATCCGGACTGAATGACAGCACAGACACACTCATCATGGCTGCACAGGAGCAGGCCCTGATCACCAGAACAATAGAGACCCAGATCTACCACACCAGAAAAGATTCCAGGTGCAGACTGTGCAAAGAGGCCCCTTTGACAATCCAGCACCTAACTGCAGAGTGTAAGATGCTGGCAGAGAAAGCTTACATGGAGTGCTAAAACCAAGTGGCTGGAATAGTATACACGACCATCTTTGCAGAGTATGGGCTAGAAACTCCAAGGTCAAAGAGGGAAACACCTCCAAGAAAGCCTATGGCCACACACTTGGATCATCCAAAGGTGATAGAGAATGACCAAGCCAAGATGCTTTGGGACATCCAGATACAGACAAACCGAATGGTAATGACAAACCAACCGGACATTGTGGTGGTGGTCAAAAAGCAGAGGAAATCCATTGTGGCTGAAGTGTATGAGCAACTCAGGCTTCAATTAAAAACAGTTGAAAATGTATGTTTAAATTATAATAAAAAACAAAAATAAAAAACAATGTTGATCATAG